CGCTGTGCAGAGCGCTTGCTCGTGTAGCGGTCGCGGGACCGCCGCGCTGTATGAGGTCGATTCCATAAGAACGCAATTGAAGCGCTTCAATTTCGATTGCTGGCAAATAGTTATGTATTTGCAAGCATGCATGGCTATTTGCCAGCAGTTGCAATTGGAGCGCATGTACTACGGGCAGGTTCGGACAACTCGTCCAACACACGTCTCCCTAAACGGCAGGGGGAGTCCCTGTCTAAGCCCCTGCCCGACGTTTTTTTCTACTTTTTCTTTCTCCATTGACCAACTTCTCACCTGCAACGTCATTATAGGTGGTCCTTACCCGCGAATTCGTTCCTGGATTGTTGCTTTAAGAATACAAATGTGTGGTAAGTTGGTGAACATATTAGTGAAATCCGCTCAAAGAGTTTCATATTATCTATTTTCAAAAATCGAAGTTCTTCACTAATGTTTATATTATTTATAGACCAATATCCTAGAAAATGACTATTGCGACTTTTAATAGTGTTATGGTAATTAATGAAATGAGCTTTTATAAAGTGAGTATACGAGTGAGCTCTATGGATAAAGGTTTAAAGGAAGCGATTACGATAGATCTCAAAGGGGTTTAGAGGGGACGTGGGGGTCTCAATAGTACGCCAATGGCGAAAAAAGCAAAGAAATCCGTCAAAAATAAGCAAAATAGTACCCCTTTGATTGCCCTTTCATTTTCGACCATGGATGAGCGGCGACAAAGAAAGACGTTGTTCGGACGTGTTAACCCCGATAGCCGCCATCATGCCAACAAGCATAGTGTTTTGATTGATAAGGCAATACGTGGGCAAGTTGGAAGATACAGCCGCTAGAAGGGAAATGATCATCCAAAATGAAAAGCCAACAGCAAACAGTCCATCCAGATCATCAACAAAACTAGTGGGCGTCACGTCACTGGGGCGGAGCGTCACGCGGGTCCTGCTCAGCAACCACAGCACCTTTCGCCGTGGGAGGACCACACATCGCTTCCTTGGCAGCCAAGTAATTGCTCCGTGTGGCGCAGGTTCTCCCCCGATGCGAAAATTCCTTATCGTAATCGCTTCCTTTAAGACTGCTAGTTTTTGCACCTGTTATGAATCGAAACTTTATTGGGGACTTATGCAATTTAGGAATAGCGTATATTAAAGGTATGGTAACTACTGATGGTATTTTGAGGTTGTTAGTTTCGTAGAACTTAATGTGTTTTTTGAGTATACTGTCTTCTCGTAAGTTATTACATAATATATATGTATTATTAGTTTCGTTTATATTGAGTGTTAGATTATCACTCAATATTATTCCCATTTCTTTCATTATTGTTAGGATATAAAATTTTTTGCACACTATCCCAAAGTTATTATTTGCTTTATCTAAAGGACAAAAGATGAATCGGTCTTGCAATTTCTTGACTTCATTTCTAGCCTTAGTATTGAACTGTTCTCCTTGATGTAACCAGGAGATGTAAAGCTTAGGTTTT